TAGTGACCAGCCATGTAACAGTCAAGCCCCTACATGGACTGCACACTCACCATTATCAAAAAAAGCCCCAAGTAGCAGTAGGAATCAAAGAACAAGAGATGCAAAAACGGCCACCTACCCACCCCGCATAAACAAAGGCGTACATACCAAAAGAATGAAGAACATAAAGAACACAAATGTAGTGAAATAAATTGGTCCCAAAATTCGATTAGCTTCTTCAACCTCTGTGAAGTTGAAGTCTCCCAAAATGATGCGGAACTGAGTAAATCTTAAAAAACAAAACATATCCAGGAGTTGAAAAAAAACACTTTTGGAGCTGTGCAAGAATTCTCAATCTATTTTACCCTAACAGTCTGACTGATTGCCAGCAGAGAGGTCTGCACTACTGTTAATACTTTATCAGGCACTGCAATAATCAATTCCTCAAGCCCATCTCTAGGCAAAACCAAATGTGCAGTCAGATGCTACGCACAGAGAACAAAACCAGGGTGGTTACTTCTGGCTTTTGGTCACAACTGATAATGGGGGTAACAGGAAGCAGAGCAAACCACTGATTACCATTGTGAGGCTTTATGATCCGCTCCCATCCTTCTCCTATCCTTTCTGCCTCTCGCAAACGTAGAACCCCAGCCCTCTCCCTCTAAAGCTAGCTGTACAGTGCCAAGCCTCTTCCATCGTATTTCAAGTTCCTCCACTTCTCTACAAGAAATTTTTTGCAAGATTGCCCCAAGGTAAGGGGGCAGGGGGAAATCGTTAACTGAACAACCTGGTAATTACCTCAGTTAGAATCAGGTCATGTACCAAATCAATAAAGGAAAAACTGATTAACAACCCTATATTAAGCCCTATCACTCTCCTGGATTCCAGCAGATACTTACAAATTTACTAGTTGACTGTCTTAAGATGGACTTCATTTGTGAGTCAACAATCTACACATACTATCAGGAACACAGTATTATTATGCATACAAGATTTCAGTAAGCATTAGAAACATAAGCAAGCATATAATCATTCAACTGCTGAAGACAGACATTGCTTTGTTTAGGAATGTGACCAACTGTAATAAAACCCATGTCACTTCCACCAACAAAACCCTGCTATTTTTAGCTCACTGATCTAACTATAGTATATTTTTAATCTCACAGCAAAGACAGCTTTTAAACTAAAAATGTTATCAAAAAATACATTTGCTACTCAGCTACATCAACAGTGATATGTCTGCAGCTTATCTGTTTAGACATATGTCTGTAGCTTATCCACCTCTGATGAGGCAACCAAATCCATTCACCAATGTACAATGAGAAATTCTTTGCATTTTTTATTCTTGTACTTACATGCAGTCCTGGAAAGTGCTGAAGTCATCAATTTGAGTGCCAAAGACAAGATAGGCCAACTGAGCATACGCTAAGAAAATAATAAAAAACATAATAGCAAAGCCAATGACGTCTTTGACGCAGCGAGACATGGTAGTGGATAACTGACTCATTGTTCTATTGAAGTTAACAAATTTGAAAAGCTGTTAAAAGAAAAGATAACTGTAAAGACAAGGAAGACAACAATTTCTTAACACAATCGCTTCTCCAGCCTTCACACATGAGATGTTTTACTGAATTTAACTGGAGACAAAGTCAGTTAATTTACATTTAGAAATACATCACTTCCTAAAAACACTGAGGCTTGAAATGTGAAGAAAATTGTGAGAATGCCAACTTCTTGTTTGGGTGTGGGGTTTTGTTTGTTTCTTTGTTTTTTCACTCCTCTATTTGGCACCCTGGCTTCAGAGCAGTGTTACCAAAATGCTTTCAAAAGCTCTTTATTTATCTTTATCTTCAATGAAGATGTTAGCTACAAAGTAGTAAAATGCGAGAAGATCTCCCAGCTAACTTCACTGTGAGCAGTCTTCCTGAGGTCCCCTCCAACCTGCATTATTCTGTCACTCTGCAGTTTACCATTATTTCTTATAATGAGCCACTTCATTTCTTAAAACATGATGCAAAAATTAGATGCAACTTTGTCTTATAAAACAGTAAGAGATTAGCTAACTTGCTTGATGAACCTAAGTATCAGTCTGGAGATTGGAGTGGAAGTTCACTTATCATTGGTCTTACATTTTCCCCTGTTAGATAGTTTATTAACTAAATGTTCCTCTGCAACTTTATACACACAGAGGACAGGAAAATGAGTATGGACATGAAAAGAAATATCACTAGAAAGAGGCAGTAAAACAGAGAAATTAAGTTTAACTGAAGTAATGTATCTAGTTTTCAAATTAATTGGACTAGCTTTATCAACCCTTCTAATGATTCAGAAGTTTTGAATAAAAAGGGCACAGTTAAACCAGGCTAGGAAGAAGCAATACCCAGTAAGAATTATCAACTTACCACTTCAGGATTCATAAAAGCATTTCTTTACGTGTCTGCTGTGACAAAGCACTAGCACTGACTACATCTTCTAGAATTAAACAAGGGCTGACTAAACCTGTGGCAAATTACAAGCTTGCTTTTAATCTGCAATGTTACCCCTGTGCTCTGACTTTCTTGCATGACCAATTGTAGGAGAAACACAACTAAACCACAAATAATATATCACACAGAACTTGGTACACTGCTTACATTCTAATGTTAGAATAAGGACATGTGTCTTGGAGTTACCTTAATCCAGACAAAAAACACAGTGACTGCAGCAATGTTGTTGAATTGCATTTGCCAATATGCCAAAGGTTCAAAATTGGGGAATGAGTTCTGATCTTCCAGCAGCTTCTTCAGGAGCATATCAACAGTTGATGTCCTATAGATGCTAATTCCTATAGCTACCACAGAGAGCTGAGTACAAAAGAAACACACAGACACACAAAAGGTGATTAGGGTTTTAAAACAACTTGTTTTAGCCACATATGTCAGATAAAGTTAAGGAACTCCATGTTATTTATAGCACTAGCATAACGTGGGCTTTAAGTAAAAGCAAATATATTGTTTTCAAGGTGTCCTGGCTACAAAGCTGAAGTTTAAAACAGGAAAGTAACAAGTAACAGATAGGGATTGCACAGATTGATACAAGCTTCTTGCAGTCAGTCCTTCAGGGTCAACCCTGCTGGTCACTGATCACATTAGCGCTTAGGGCCAGGCAGTTGCGGTTGCTAGAGGGGTCCAGGTTTTACCACCTTTCACTCAGGAGTAATTTAAGAGCCCAGTGGCTGCTGTTTGAGATTGGATCCAAATTAGAGTTTCTGGACACATCAGGAAACGCTTTTCACAACAAAACCATTCTAGTACTCGACTACAGACAAATAGCCTGGGAATAAAGAAGGTTTAGAAATCTTTTCCTTGCCACAGTTGAAGAACAAGATGACGGTGAAGCCTAGTGGGCTCAGAAAAATGAAGCTGTCACAGAGAAGAAAATGTAAGGAAAGAAAGATGACAACTCAAAAAGACAAAGGTGAAAAAGAGTAAAGAGCAGAAAGACAGCGGTAGCCAAAAAGGTACCAGAGTTTCTCTGGAGTACAGACTGACCAGTATTACCCAGAACAAGCAACAATAGAGAAGGTGTAGTTTTACCATACAGGTAAGGTTCCTGTTTTGACCTCTGCAAATGTGCTTTTTATTAGTGTAAGTGAACACTTCATCATGTATACAGAGTCATAAAGTACATAATCCTAAATTTAAACAATGTGTCTCAGACAAGGTATAAACATAGAAGTTGACCCTTTGTGTGAACTGAATTTTACACGCACACTTGAATACACTTCACCGACTGTAACATCAAAGCATCTTATTCCAGCCCCACCACTAAGTATAACAAACAGCGCACAGTTCATGTAAACATCCTCCTAAATGGTCCTTCATTTACAAAGCACTGTGATGCAAGTATGATTTCTCTAGATTACAGATACTAACTTCAAGACTTAAACCTTAATACTAGCTTGGTATTAGCTGGTGAGTATTTTAATACCACATTAAATCTCCTTGTGGTTCTTTGCAAACGTACTCAAATCCCAGTCCCACTCCTCCAAATGCAAATCACTACTTCAAAGCAGATGATTTTCCTACTTTAAAGCCACTCCAGTAGTCTGTATCAGGTATGTAGAAGAGAAACGAGGGCAAGTTTGTTATCTCCCATAATGGCTGTGCCTTTATAGACAAAAACTGTGAAAAAGCATACTGGACAAATACTCTAAACTTTTCACCAGTACATGAAGGTTGAAACCACCAAACACAGAACAAGCAAGTTTGCAAAATACACCAACATTACAACACAGACTAAAATTGTCTTATTCAGACTGAATAGCCCAATAGTCTGTAAGTATCCTTCCTAACGATGGCCCTATCCCTTCAACCCACAATAGGAATACCAAGTCATTAAAGTCTCCTACAAAGTGCATTTCAGAAAGTAATTTCAGCCTTATTATAAATATTACTTACCACAATGATAAGGATATCAAGGCAATTCCAGAGACTTCTGAAGTAGTGCAGTCTATGAATGTGAATTTCTATGATCTCTTCTACCATATAATACAGAACAAAAAGACAAAACGCCATTTCACAGGCTGCCAGAAAAAAATCAAAAGTGGAGATGTAGTGAATCAGCCTCACTGGCTGAAACTGCCAAGACGTAACAAGGCCTCCAGTCGCTGGAAACTCCACTAACAACCTGTGTTTAAAAAAAGGCAAAGGAAAAAAAAAAAATCATTTACACAGCATTGATGAAAAGCACTACTAAAAGATATATGGTTTTATTTACATAATTATTTAAATCACGGCAAAAGGCCACATATGATTAAGAGAAAACACTACACAGAACAGAAGGTATAAACCTGACCACACTCAATTTTTACTAAAATGCAAAGCATTTCAGGAACAGTGTGCATAGAGACAGAAAGACCTGTCTTCATCTGCATCTGTTTTGTGCTGTCTGAACTACAGACTGATGTTGTATATCCACATATTTACTTTAATAAGCCAACTCACTACAGAAGTCACCTGCAAACTGCACCCAAGCTGCTGCGGCATCAGGAAAGTCAAAACTGCCTCCAGATGGTGAGTGCAGCTGCCATGTGGAGCTGCATTTCTTTGACAGGGAGGCATGCCACTTCAGTTGTCTGTCTCCTTTATACAAAACATACACTTACCCATGTCCTCAAAACAAAGCAATCACAAGAAAACCCCAAGTCTACAACCTACACTGTGCAGTTTGAACACTGCCATGGTTCTGTTCACACCTGACAACGCAGAACAGGTTGATGTTCGCATTGTATACGGAGAAATCAATGAAAGCTGCTCTGGTCCCTCTGTCCAGCCACAGGTTCTTCTTAAGGCTAGCAATCTGCACAGCTGTCACTTCTCTGGTCCTTGAGAGGTCTTGGTAATAACCAGCCCCACTGTATGTGGCAATCAAGCCCCAGTGGCTACTCCCATTCAAATCCTTCTCATTCGTGTACGTCCAACTAGTTCAGAAGTAAGCGAAACAGAGCATGTTAGTCTTTCCACTTTCAACTTACAATTAACAAAACAGACCAACAACAAAACAAACAACAAGACCTGACCAAAAAACCACATCAGTTACTTAAAACTGCTTTCATTTAAGAGGTACTTGTAGCAAGTTTTGATGCTTATACCCTGGAGAAAGAGCTCACAAAGTTATTTTTGTTGTGTTAGTCAAAGTAAGATAGAAAGATGGGTCAAAGGTATATTAATTGTGAAAAGAGAACACATCAGTCATCTCACACAGAATTTCTATCCTCAGGGAAAGAAAGAAAATTGGCATTTACATAGTTATTTACATCCAAAACCTTTTACAGTTCAACTTGCACATCGTCCTCCAAGAGAGGCAGTGCTATTCCCATTTTTAGCCAGGGAAGACAACTCAGAGAAACCCACTGAAATAATACAATCTGGAATTACAGACAGGTGCTCATGAGTTGCAGTGCTGCACTCAGACCACCGTGTGTCTCCCACAAATAACATGAATATAACAACATTGTGCCATAACCAATGGCACAATGACGGCACCTAAACTCAAGTGGATCAAGAGCACAGTCCTCTCCAAGTTCGGTAAGGTTTCTCCATGAGCAGAACTGGCAGCTGCTCTGGACATCTACCTGCCTTTACAGACAGAACATACAGCAAATGCAGTGTTGCCTCTGCCAAGTGACTTCTGTAATTCAGCACAACCCAGGTCAGGGGCCGGCGGGGAAAGTGTGTCTACAGGAATACTACATACGCTGTTCCATTTCGAAGTCCAAAAGGAGCAGTATCTTCATTAGCTACAGAATAGACATCATAGCAGTCTTTGATTTCATCCTTTAAATCTTCAGGTATTGAGCATGAACCATTTCTCACTTTAAGCTGCCGAATGCGAGGCACCCCTAAGAGCAGGTTCTCATAATAAATGAAGCTTTTGTTTTCTGCCATGGTTTTGTTGTTGTACCACATCTCCCAGTAAAGACCATCCAGCAAAGGGCCTTCTGTGAACTGGGGAAGAAGACAGAATTTTAGTTTGCATGTTGCCAGCACTGTTTTTACAGATCTTCATTCCGTGGATGTGTTAAAATTGCAGTTGATAATTTTTCTGACATAAGGCCTTACTGTTACCTGTCCTTCAAAGACATTCTGCAACCTTGCCCTACCCTGCCCCACCAGCATTACCTGGGTTCTAAACTTTCACATATTAAAGGCCTGCTTTGTTCCATAGCTTTGACATTGTGCACAGAGATCTTCATGCACAACCCCACAACATTAGAAAACAGATCCTGCAAGTTAAGTTTACAGGCCATGACGGGACAAGCAAATCACAGCAACAGAGATATAAAAAAACGGTTTTAGATTACCTTCCAGAAGTCATCCATTGTGGACAAAGTTTTGAAATCAGTTTTCTCCATTTTTGATACAGGTGTTTCCAGGAAGAGCTGCGACATAACCCTTGTGTAATAGTACATACTGGAACTCACTGTCCCATAAGTCACTGCAAAAGATTTGTCAAGGAGTGAGAGGTACAGGGATGGAGGAAAGAGAAGAGGAAAAGAAGAAGGAAAAAAAGAGAAGGAAAAAAAGAGTACTTTGCTTGTTTTGTTTTGAATATATCAGGTTATATTTGTATAGATTTTGCACTGAAAAGTTCAAGCTTCAGAACAAAATAAAATCCACACCAAGCAGCATTTGTCTGTCAACTGTGATTAAAATACAAAAAGCAGTGAAGAATAGACTGATCAATCAGTTTAAAATACTCGGTTCTCCTTCCCACACCTCATTCTATTATTAATGCTTCTACAAAAGCTAACTTCAAGAAAAACAAAGGCAAGATTCAACAGCCTGAAGAGAGGCAGCTAGTGCGTTTTTAGGTGACTTGTGCTATCCAAGGCATCCACAGGGAGCTGGCACGGATGGCACAAGACCTCAGGAGAACTATGCCCTGCTTGAACAGATAATGGAGACGGTCAACCAGGATATTGCAGGGCACTGCGAATGACATTAGCCGCCTATGGTTAGACAACGAAACTCAAGACACGCAGTGCTTCTGGGAGAATTTCGCCACAGAAAATAAATGACTTGTGTTACTTCTTTTCCTCACACTGGGCCAGGCATTTGGCTGAGGACCACAGAGCATAAATTATAAAATGACATACAAAGCCAAGATTGCTTGAGAGAACAGTCTCTGGCACTGATACCGTTACTGCCTATAAATACTTAAAAATATTTTATGGTGAAAATTCAGAGAAGCTTGAAAGATTAAGGCTACGCTGAACAACCTCCATCAGTTTTGACAGTTTTATAAAAATACTTTAATACAGGGAAGAAAATGTGTTTTCTTTATCAACCGGAGAACAAGAACTATTTTTAATAGACTTCCGCTGTGGCACATGGAATGTATCACATGACCATGCAATACCTGGATTCTCTCTAAATACGTACTCTCAAAAATACAAGAGTACAAGCAATGCCCATAGCATTTAGCCTGCACTGGAAAGCTCTCTCCTAGAGCATGCCAAGCCACAGGCCAGTCTGTCCCATGGTTATTGCTTACGTGTAAAATTAAAAAGGATAGTACTTAAAAAAATACTAATGAGTTAGCAATATCTGTAGATATTTAACACACTATACTTTTCCTTTATTCTGCTACCAAAAATCTTCTTCTATAGCAAAACAAATTGTGAACAGCCTGCAGTCAACCTTTTCCTGCAATTTCACTTTATTTTAATTCAGGTCCCTCGCTGCTACACTTCTGGTGGTACAGCACACCAGCCACAAGCAGTCTCATGCTACTTTATCCATAAACCTGCACTAAGCAATCTTAAAGGACTCGGGAAGCCAAAACTCCATGATATTTAGTGTATACCATGCTTGCAGTACAACACCAAAACAGTTGTGTCAACGGTATAAAGTTTGGGGTTTTGGAGTTTTTTAGTTAATTCCACTCCAGACAAGCAAGGCAGGCTTGCTCTCGAAGCCAGTCTACCAATGTAGTTTTGCATTTTCTCTTCCACTCCAAGATTCTCTCTCACAAAAAATAAAAACATCACCTTGTCCTATTACAACTGCTCATAAAAAACAACTTAAGTGTCAGTGACATTTCAGATATTTAGAATAGAACCACCCACACTAAAAATTAGAGGCTTGAAACGTATCGACTTTGCAAAGATATACTAACTTAATGCATACAGATTTTGTTGTTATTCTCCCCAGTAACCAAATAAAACATCTATTTCACAACTCCATAGTAAGTTCTATTTTGTATTGTCTTGCTAATTTTATACAATATATGAACATGCCTTGTTTTGACTATTAACTTAAAACCCCCTAGAAAATATGATTCTATGATCTTAAAACAAAATTGTATAAGAGCTTCAAGTTCCCAAGGCCAGAAAAGACTGCCGCTCTCAGAATCATTACATTATACTAGCCACAACTGTTCATGATGCTGTGTGAGGCCTGTGATAAACATCCTCTTCTACCTGTGCTCCAACATCACTAAGGTTCTTCACCCTGAGAAAAGAACAGCACTCAGTTCAGGCTGCCGCCTTGAACTCCCTTTGGGTGCAGGAATATTGTTGTGCATGAGGCCGGAGATCCGTCTAGTTCCTCACTTCTGTACTAAGTCTGTATTTAGTAGAATACACTAATATTATCTTCAGTGTTGATTCTAGAGTGCCTACCTCAAAGCAGTCGCCTACTTAAAAGCCAAATAAATTTTTTTAAAAATGAAAGTAATAAAAGAGTAGGCTGAATGTTATTCTGTTCTGTGTCCTATAGTGTTACGATACTTCATATATCATAGACAACAAAACAAATGACACACTTAAATCATGAAAGTCTCCAGCTGTGATCCGTATACACTTGAGTATATATAGCTGCAGATGCATTTAAAATGTCCAGCATCACGCAAACACAGATTATCAGATATTTCTAAGTAGCTAGCATTATGTCTGCTTTTCCAGCTGCTATCAAGAACTTCTATTCTTAGAGTGACCTGTACCTAAGCTTGGTGATAAACTTAAAACTCAGTGATTTAATTTAATTTTTTGTCCTAGATGACTAACTCCTACTCTTCACATTTAACGGTTCTGTTCAGTGATTTCAAAATGCATAGCAGAAGCATTACACTATGATGTGGTACTACATTAAAAAAAATGCCCCCTAAAACGAAAGAATATTATCATCCTGCTTAAAGGTTCAAAACTTAAGGCACAGAATGTTGCAGTATTTTCAATCTCAAGCAACAATCCAAGCGCAGAAACAAGACAAAGATTTCATTCCAAATCTTTGCCTACACACCTGTCCATTAATTCTTCTCCCACATCACTGAAACAGCCTTCATTCTGGAGTCACAGATAGCAAGCAGACAGTACAGAACTGGATGCATTAATGCCAAACGGTACTTACGGACACACAAGACCACAAGGAAAATCATGTATGTAACCAACTCCCGTAAGACACTTTTCAGATATCGCTCTCTGCTAGTGTTGCTTTCTTCCATGAGTCTTGTCCCCCACAGACCTTAAAAGGAAGACATATATAATGATATACACAGGTATCTGATACTAGATACATAAGGAACATAATAAGTCAAGTGGTTTTGAAAACTTAACCTATGTCACGTCTGCTGATGGTTCTTCTGTGGATTTTAAACTGATCTAAGTTCAAGCAAGAACAACTTCTTTGGCTTGCCCTTCTGCAGGCTGAACGGGGCCCGAGGCAGTTTTAGCTATTCACGAGATACCATAATACCAATAATAGCTCAGCAGAACTCTAACACAATCTGCTGAAGATTTGCCAGAAGTACTATCACTTAAAACCACATGGTATGAAAACAGATACAAGTATACAAAGACATGCACAGATAGCCATCCTTCAGGAAATGCAGTGCAGTGTTTTGGGATTTTTGTTTTAAATATGAAAAGCATTGTTAGATGAATGAAAATGCATGTTCAGTATCGAATCTTTACTAATCGTCTTCACTAACTTTCTACCTGAAGGGAGGATACATCAGTCAAACATAATTTTAAAGAAAATAAATGATAACCTTCCTCTCCCAAATAGGCAAGGCATGTCAGAGACACAGCAGGGATCTCGGTGAGTATTTCTACACGATTACTTGCCCCGTGCAACAAACAGTTATCACTGAAACATTAGTAGTGGCCTAGCTGTCAAACGGAGCATCTGCATTAGCTGAACTACTACTGCCTGTTACTAGCTTCATATTATACTTGACATTCTCAAGAAGACAGTGTAAGAGAAGTTACTGAACTTTGGTGATCCCTTCCAAAAGGGTAACAGAGAAGCAAAAGGATCTTTTAAATGGAGTCACTAAAAGAAACAACCATCTGAGAACAGAAAGCCGTTAGAAACCACCATCCTTATTTCCTGTGCCTAACACAGAACAGTAAAAAATCTGGGAACAGCTGCTGATGCTCAGACCAGAACTGCTACCTTCAAGGAACTTCTCTTCATTTAAGCCTAAACAAAGCAAGGCTATTTGACCTTAGTTTATGGTGGGAGAGAAAGCATATAAAAATAAAAATTCACTCTTACAGAAGTGCACCAAGCTTCCACCCTTCTCCTTTTCAGGTATTTTAAACAGCCAACCTTTTAAAACACCTTTTACGTTACCAGTAGATGGAAATGAAGTAACCTCAAACTCCCTAGGAAAAAATCTTGGATCCATCGAACATACCACAGTAATTTGAAATCAAATGGAACAGCAACAGGGGATTGCCAAAACACGTTATAAAGCTGACAATGAAGAGAGTTCAGTTGCTTTACAACCATTGCTGTAAGACTAAGACAGACAAAGGGCTAATCTGCCTGCTGCAGAACTTCATTTGCCATCAAACAGATGGGAATAAGGAAGCTCTTCCCTCTACCTGCAAATACAAGGTTTATTCAGAACAAAATAATGTGTTAGATGTTTTAGAAACCTTTCAGCTATCACATTTTAAGTTGTGACCTAACCACAAAGTCAACCAGGAAACTTCTCTTGCGCAGGCACAGCAAGCACTAATAGTCTTAGCATTAACCTCTGTTCACACTCCTTAATTAGTAATTTAGAACCTTCACTAGTGTCAGCCCCCAAAACAAGAGAGCTTTTTTAAAGCTGTTCTTTAAGGCTAAGTCTGAAAATTTACAGATAAAGACTGCAGCTTTACACAGAATGCCAAATCCTCACCATTAGGTCATTCTTGAAGACAGAAACATAAAACCAAGAACATTTACAGTCACTAATAGTAAAGAACTCAACAAATTTAGCCTCTAACACAGCACTACGTTGCACTAGCAACCCTCATAATAGAGGCAGGAAAACATTACAGAAGAGAGGAAGAAAAGGCTGGAACAGTCAGTGAGCTAAACTGGCTAGAGAGCCGCTGTCAGCACATGACTCACCAATAAGAAATGTGGTGAGCAGAGAGCTTGCAAGCTCAAATTCTGTCATAGTATAATATTGTTAGGAGTCAGCAAGGAACAGAAAGTTACATGTGAAGAAAAAAAAAAAAAACAAACCAACCATCCAAAACCAGCACCGGATATCATACAGTGATCTTTGTGTTAAATGAACTCTGGATTTGCCCATCAGCTAGCTTGAAGCTTTCATTAGTTGCCGTGCTTTTAGAAGATATATACATTATTCTCCTTTTTGCCTTATTAGAATACTGATTTAGATGCATCAATAGCACTGGTAAGCAGTGCTGGATTTAAGTTGACATCTACTGCAAGCATCAAAAAAGTTTCATTTCTAGCCTTGATTAATCATTTCCAGTTCATTCCTTACATAAATTTGCTATTCATCAACTTTCTGACAGAATCTATGTACGAAATCTGCAACTAACAATTGTCATACTCATTCTGTAGCCCAAACTGCTTACCCAAAGAGTATACAAACTCAGAAGAGTTGTCAAAAAATAATGATCAAATGCAAATAAAAAAATAGATGAAATTTCATCTTAGAATAAAAAGTCTAGTTTGTTAGGTAGCACAGGAAATTAAAATCTTTCTGTTCACACATATATAAAATGTTATATTCATATATATAATGTATATGTACTTACATATACACATATACCTACATAATCATAAAGCCAAGTTTATAAGGTACAGAATGCATATAAAGTCATTCAGATTTACATAAAAGTCTTAAGTTCTGAAAGCCAAGATACATATCACTAACTAATCTGCCTACACAGAAATTCAGATGCTGGGGAAAGAATGGGGCTGGGGGAAGGAGAGGAAAGTGACCCTCAGGCAAAGATGCTTTGTCCCAAAACAAAACCAAAACAGTCTCACAAACCTTAGCTCACATTCCTTAATAAGGTACAACCAGAGTTGTAACTGCACTAGTTCAACTAGTAAAAATGTCATGATGCATTCTTCGTGAATGTAACAATGAATGAGTGACTGGAAATGATATTTGATACTTCCATTTAAAAATAACTAAGAAAATCTTTCAAGAAATACCCCACATACATTCCTTAGTATTGATGCACATGAGGACACAGTAGCACTGGGTGACAAAGTACAGCTGTGAGGGGCAGATTACCTTTCCAGTCTGGCTCTGGAAATGGACTTTGCTCTTACCCATCAAAATTTTTGATGACTTTCTCCTTAACAGAGCTGAATAGTCATCCCCTTCTCTCCCCTCAGCATCTGGGATGTTTGCTGAAGAGATCTGCAAAACTAGAGGGACTAAAGCTACTTCACAGAGACTCATGTTAAAATCTGAAAAGATTCCACAAAGAGAAGAACCTAAAATACAGATAGTCTGAAGTAGTTGACTTTCTATTCACTTAGTAACTCCTGTTACAGTCTCCCTGACAGTTGCAATTACCAAAATCCCATTACCTTAAATCCCCTCTGCATTTTTATTTCACAAGTGACAGCAAGAAAAATGTAAGCTGTCATTCAATATCCCTCAGTTGATAAGAGGCAACTTGTTTAGCCATGGTAACACCGTCACTTATGATATCCAAAGGATAAATCCCTCTTGTTGAATTCTGTATAGTGAAATGGAATTTCATTAAATAAATCTACCATAACTTTCCTCCAGTCATCTTGAAGTAAAACTGTGCATGCTATTTTCCAGTCTTCAAAGATCCCCACGGTTATCCACGAAATGTCAGAAGAACTACTGAGTGCTCTTTCCAGTATTAAAACCTGTTATCCTTCAAGTGCATATGAATTTCAGGCTTGAAATCAGCCCTTTTGCTGTGTAGCCTGCAGTGATCACATTCTTCAGAGGTTAGTTACCTATGCAGCAGGCAAGTACAGCACCCTGCAGTACCTCCACAGAATGAAACTCACACCGAGCCACTTACTGTGCCTATGAATTCATGGCAACGTTCTCATGAAAGAGCCAGAAAAGGATCTGTCTACTACAGTAACTTTAGCTACACTTGCCTAGAAACACAAAATGTACTCAGGTCAGAAATCAACAGAAACTGTGGATAGTAACCACAGGGATAAATCCACTCTGAACATTCCTAGAACATGAAACCAAGTCTTTTCATTTTACAGCTAAAAATAGAATACTACCAGTGTACGCTGACTGTCTCAAACAGCAAAAGGCAGTTTGGTCCCCAGCCATTATTGAAAATGTTTCTTTTTGTTTTCTTGCACTGCAAGAATGTGTAACTTTGCACCATTCTCCACACAGCACTCACTTGATTAATAGGGTCACACCCAGTAGTGTCAAGAGAAGCACACCAGTCAAAAGGATGCATAATGTTACCATGTCAAAGGTGGTCCTCATCTTTCAGCTTGAAAGCAGAAATGAAGAGTTCAAGCTATGGACATGCATCAGCTCCCAAACTGGTTATTCTAGCCCAAGATATGTTGCTTTTAGGCAGCAGGACAGGCAAGGGATCCATCTATCAGAGAAGGGCCGGAACATCTTCTGTGACAACATCTGCCTGATACTGATGCTGCTGAAGGCTCAGCTGCACTCTTTCTGCCCAGCACAGCATGCAGCTTCACCAAAAGCCAATTCCTCTTGGTTCTGCTGCTTGCTCAGCTGAACAAGGTGAAAATAAATATATGGGCTTAAAACCAAAAAAACTGCTAGAAAAAAGCGTACTAAAAATAAGCAACCTTCCTCCATGCAAAACCAACCCTAAGCTGCAGACAAAGCATTTTACCAAGACTTCGTCAGAATGGTATCTCGGGGGGGGGGGGGGGAAGGGGGGCAGAAGAAAACCAAAACTCTGTCTGACGGACTTTCTTTCCATCTGCGAATACTCTGACCTTACACAAATCACACATTATTAAGCTCTGCCTTCAGGTTCCAAATGGCTCAGAAACCAGCACCAAAATCAGTCCTAGCATGGATAATCTGTTTTGAGTATTACTGCAGAAACCATGACGGAGATGAAACAGTAGCAACTTATGCCATATCATCACAAAGTCACTCTCACACTCATCTCATGTTCAAACACCACTATTTTTCACCACAAGTAAAACCATATACAGGAGGTTCCTTCTTGGCAACAACCAGTACGAAGGGAGCATATAGACAGTCTACTTAGGTAAGAATTTTTATAAAAGGGCTTCACTTTCTCCATGTGAAGCAGCTCCTTTCCTAGGCATTTATGTACCTCAGCAACAGACTAAACACACCACTGAAGACCCCAAACAGAGCAGTGCGAGTTCATGCATAACACATAATTATCATTGATATCTTTTCCTGACCATTCCGGTCTGTTATGAAGTGACTTAGTTCACTGAACGCTCTAGCTCTTCCAATAAAATCTGCTGAAAAGAAAACATGCTCTATTCCATAATCTCTGCAAGTCTGGCTTGCATCCAAGTAAAACACTGCAATGATCAAGAGGGTTTTGGTGCAAGACAGCTGAAGTCAGAGAAATCATTATAACAAATTATTTCTGAATGCACATGAAAATCAAAGTGAAGACATACAGGATGTACAATAGCCTAATTTACAAGTCCCTGCTTAAAACTGAGTTCGTTTTGACACCTCTGCTGATGCTGTGCCAGCCAGTAACAGTACTATCACTTCAGGAAATTCACATTTTATAACGATAGAATCATTTAGGTTGGAAAAGACCCTTAGGATCATCGAGTCCAACCATAAACCTAACACTGCCAAGTCCACCACTAGGTTTCTTCTTCTAAAAGAAGAATATTTTCTAATATTCTCTAAATATTCTAATATTTTCTAAATATGGTTTACTTCTCCTGCAGCTTTATATTTTGTGTGACACTTAAATCCTACATTTAAAATCCTCACAATCTGATGCTGACATTTTAAGTTTCTCTGGAAAGGAAGGGACTTTCTCACATGTGCTCCCACAACCTTGAATCCAAAGAACTCCCCATCCACCGTTTTCTCTGCTGTGTCAAATCAACCCCGTACAGGGCCAGCAAAGCACAGTTAAGGCAGTAAGCTTAGAATGACACTCCAAACGCTGATTTGATGTGCTCCCACTTAAGCTTCAAACTACGTCCCAGGTCACCGGGACACCACCGGTCACCACCACATGTATCCAAAAACTACTAAGGAGAGTCTCTTACTTTGAAAGCACCCAGGACTAAGACCTGGGGGACAGAGAGCTCTATGCTCCGGAGGAAAGGACGGAGAGAGGTGTGCGTGCATTTGTGTGCGCTGGGGAGCATAACCAGGACAGAGATCAAAATATGGATGTGCATGAAGAGGTGGGGACACAGACAGGGGCAAGCACGCAAGGACAGACGGGAGATGGAAAAAGAATACGGGCAGAGGAAAAAGAGGGCAGGTAGCAAAGGGGTGGGTGGAAGAAAAGGCAAAAGGGACTACAAACAACTCATAAACGTCCCTCTCAGCGAGTCTGC